AAAAAAAAAAAAAAAAAACAGTGAAACAGAAGAACTAAATAAGAACCTTCGAAACCTTCATCACCTATCATTCTCTTCTAACAGTTCAAAACTGTTTTCAAAAGACCGAAAAAGCAGTTTAAATCGAACAATCAACCACTAATGTAAAAAACAGTGATGATACTACTACAACAACACTAATACTACTAACACTAGTCTTAACACTAGTAATAATAATAAACAAATAAAAGTACTCTTGTCTTGGCTTCTTTTTTTTCACTATCCAAGATCAGAATAAGACGAAAAAAAAGTGGACAAGCTAAAAATGAAGTTGAACTTTCAAAGTTTATCATACAAATATATCAGTGTATTAGTGTATATGTGGATAAACAGAATTGAAGAAAAAAAAAATTAACTTCTTCTTCTCCAACGGCAGGGATGACGTTTGCTGAGCAACAGTTGAGCGAAGCCAACCAAACCCAATGAATCTGCGCAAGACTGACTGACTGACGATGATTAAGGTGGCAGCACACATACACAGACACACACCACAGAGTGGGGGAAGGCGGCGTCGGCAATGAGGAGCAGAGCCGTTGCAGAGTTGCGGAGCGACAACACCAATGTACTGATGCTGTTGCCGTGGCCATGGTTGTTGCCGTTGCTGATGCTGCTGATGCTGTTGGTCTCGGTGCTGTCGATGTTGAAGCTCATAAAAAGTGGCCCGGATCGCATTCTTGAAGAAAGGCAAACTAAGACGCCCCAAAGCCTGTCGTTGTTGAGCTGTTGCGGCTGCTCCTACCGCTCGGCCATCACAACTATGCCTTTGCTATGATGATGCTGATGATGATTTTGATGGTAATGATGATGATGATGATGATGATGATGATGATGGTGATGGTGATGCTGCCTTCTCCTACTGCTCTCATATCTTTTATGTCTAACCAATAGTAAGAATATCCATCGTCTTCACCGCTACCTTGTTGCTATTTTAATCAACTCAAACCAGCAGTACCAATACCCATTACATTCCACTCATCCATTTATATATCCATACATCTATACATTAACTCGTTCATTTACTTATTTATTTATCCATTTATCTATTCATTCGTCCACTGATTCCGGCCAAGAATCCCTTCATGCGTATTACCGGGAGCAGTTGGTTTGTTGAATTGTCATTATTATCATCACCGGAGCTGTTTTCACCGGTAACAGTCAAAAATATGACCACTGCAAATCGACAAAAACAATGGCGATAGCAATCATCACAGAAACTGGTCAAACAAGCATGCAACAAGTACACTGCAAAATGCTGTAGTAATTCGACGGATTTGCTCGTTGTTTTCAATAATAATATTTAAAAGTTCAACCATATTGAGAAAAAAAATGAATAATTGATTGTTTTTTTTATTTGCTTTTGTTTTGCTTTAATTGAGAAATATGATGACAAATCACTTTTTGAGCAAAAGAGGTCTAAGTGTGATAATACTTCGTGATACGTCGAGTTACATCGAGAAATACGCCATTGAATGAAGACGAAAGAATGAAGCCTTAGAGCGCTAATCAATAGATACTGAAAAAAAAAAATTTCCTAGCTCAAGTATAGCTTCAATGGAAACAAACTGCTGCTGTTATTGCTGCTGCCACTAGATGCTATTGTCGTTATGCTGCTACCAACAACAGTATATAACTGTATAAAAGTTTTTTGAACCCAGTACGATTCAAACGGGAGAAAGAAAAAAAAAAAGAAGCAGGCGACGAACGGGAAGAAGCGGAATGATACACTGAATAGTAAAAGAAATTAAAATGCTCAGAATGAGATTATAAAAACGGCTGAAGGTGTAAAATATAATGACAGAGGATATAGAAAGAGAGGAGAAAGTAAAAGATGACGAAAAAGAAATTTACAGGCTGAATCATTTGAAACATCCGATAATTTTAATGAACAAAATTAACATATGTTACTTTTTCGTTGATGTCAATAATTTAGTAAAAAATTACTTCCATTAGTTCCTCCCGTGTAACTTTAAATTGAAATAACGCAGGAGGAGAGAAAGAAAAGATGGCTTCCTCTTCTCTCCGGCAAGTTTTTGAAAAATACGTCGCCAAATAAAGAACTCAGCGAGCCAGTAGAGGAAGAAGTGGAAGAA